AGTCGGATGGATGAAAAAGGGAAATACGTGTGGAAATTTTGAAAGCGGACAGAATTAGTTTGTAGTTGAAAGAAATTCCGTATATAAAGGTGCTCATAAGATTTCCTATTCGCACTGGCTGAGTGGTATTATTAGGTGTAAAGTGATAACGTATAGTGGGCATTTCATCTACCAGCAAGGTCGAACAGGCTAGAATGAGTGCTTGGGTCCTGAAGCTGGGCTAGAAATAAAACTATGTCAGGAATTGGTACCATCTCGGAATGAGGCTAGTAGGATCTACTCTCAATGATCTACAAAGGTCAGCGACAGCGTGTAACGATGAGCTAGAAGCATCCTACAAAAGGTCTCTCGGTCAAACAGTCCACGTCTAGCCACTGCTCAAGCGCGCTTAATAGTAAGAAAGGATAAAGGATAAAGCGATAGGCCTTGATCTATCCCTGAGGGATACCCCATTCATTTAACTTCGTCAAGCATCGTTAGACTAGATTGAATGCATGTCTTGACCTATGAAATGACTTGCGGTGGTTTACCGATGTACCAAGTTAGCTGTGCTTTCCTCCTAGACAAGTCTGGTAGCAATTCGCTGAACACTATGCGTGTATTGAAGGGCATCCTTAACTATTACACGCGCCCTTTCCGTAATAATCTATGGTCATATATAGCGCCATTAAAGTAGCACATCTTCAAGTCCATAAATGCTGCTGAGATTTGCAACCTGTTACTGCTTTCAGGATGAGCGGAAGCAGAATGTCAAAGTGTTCGGCAGATTTGTTTTCGTATGTTTACTTTTTTACCTTTAATCGTAAAAAAAATTAATTAAAAAAAATTTTTTTTGGACGTTTACGATTAAAAAGGCGTGGGTCAATTCCGACTTTGGCAATCTTCGTCGTTTACGCGCCGACATCAAACTATGACGAAGAAGAAGTCAAAGCGTTCTATATGGACTTGGAGTTCTACAGAGAAGACCACACAGTATTCAAGGTCAGCATTGGAAATTTCAGCGTCAAGATTGGACCAAGAAGAACGTCTGAAGAACGTCACATTGGGACCCACGGATTAGAATGGAACGAACAGGGTGAGCGGCTATTTGAGTTTATCATGACAACCAAGACAATTCGTCGCAACTCGCGATTCCAGAAGCCTCATCCATCTGGGAGTGGGAGTTCCCCAATGGAGAGTACTATAACGAAGTAGACCACATCATAGTAAATTGAAGGTTTTGCCTAACCGATGTCGCTGTTGTCCCAAAATTCTACACGGGATCAGACTATCGTCTCCTTCGTGCAAGATTCTACTTATCGCAGAAAGGTGAAAAAGCCGCTAAATTCCAAAACCGAAGTCCCAGAACCACAGCAAACTGGGACTTATTCAATTCATTAGGCGGCTATTGGGAAGATGCCGTTGTCGATAACATCGACGAAGAATACGATCGGTTCACTCAACATCTTCAAGTTAGCGCTATGAAAGCTGAAAGTTCGAAAGTTACCAAGAGACGTTTGCCTCCAGAAACACTCGGGCTGATACGCCAGCGTGGAATCGCATGAGCTGCAAGCAACCGCGAACTAACGTCCGCACTTGCAAAAGAATGCAGACAGGCGATAAAAGAAGATCTTAGAGAGAGAAGAGCAGTAGTAATGGCCGATCTGCAGAGGCTGGGAAAAGCATTCGCAAAGCCCACCGAAGCTTCGCCAATTAGAAGACCAAAATAATTGCACTCCGGCGCCCAGACGGAACAGTTACAGCGTCCAGAAAGGCAATGAAGAAAATCATTCACGAATGCTACTCGGACCTCTTCGATAACCACGTCCACCTTCCGTCATATGAAATAATGGAGGATGGATACGTTGTACCATCGGTTCTCCCTTCCGAAATCCAACATGCCATATCGTCGGTGAAAAATCGAACAGCATCAGGTCCGGGCGGAATAAGACCAGAACACCTGAAGAACCTTCCGCCAGTCCTCGTAAACACACTGGCTCGGCTCTTCACATATTACCTGTCTGAATGCAAGGTCCCTACTCAGTGGAAGACCAGCAAGACCCTGTTATTGTTCAAGGGTGACCTACACGAGGGTTATTTAGTGCGATAGACCACATCCACACGGTAACAAGGCTCACTGAAGTATAGAGAGTACAAAAGACCGCTCTGTCTCACTTTCATCGATTTACAGAAGGCCTTTGATTCAACTGAGATAGAAGCAATCTTGGAAGCCCTTGATAGTCTTGGAGTCCCTACTCAGTACATAAAGATTCTTCGTGAACTGTACAAAAATTTCACAACCAAGATATCACCATTCTATAACGACATTAACATTGACGTCAAAACAGAGTTAGGCAAGGCGATACAATCTCGCCAAAATTACTTACGGCCACACTCCAGAACGTCATGCGAACTTTGGAATGGGATAATATTGGAATGAAAAGCGATGGTTGGCAGTTACACCATCTTCGCTTTGCTGATTACATCGTCTTTATTACACCAAACATTAGCCAAGCGGAACGAATGCTTGCCGACTTTGATAAAACCTGTGGAAAGATTGGTCTTCGGCTAAATCTCTCAAAAACGATGTTCATGAAGAACGGATTGGCTTCGCATTCTCGATTCCCATTCACGCTCAACGGAACTAATGTCTCCAAATGCTCCAGTTATATCTATTTAGGTCGGGAAATCAATATGATGAACAACCTAGCTTCAGAGCTGTGCAGAAGGAAACGAGCAGCTTGCCGAGCTTTCAAGGGCATCGAAGATGTAGTGAAGAGAACAAAGAACACCCATCTCCGTGCCCACCTTTTCGACTCAACGGTACTTCCTGCCCTAACGTATGCGTCAGAAACCTGGTCGCTGCGTAAGTAGGATGAAAGGTCACTCAACGTTATCGAACGCACAGTCAAAAGGACGATGCTAGGAGTAACCCGTTCCACACAAGTAAAGGATGGGATCCGAAGCTCCGATCTGCGTCAACGATCAAAAATCAAAGATGCCGTTCTGTACGCCAAACAGTAGAAGATGAGGTTGGGCGGACACGTAATGCGTATAAATGACAAGCGATGGACAAGAGCTGTTAGTGACTGGATTTCTCAGGATGTCAAGCGTGATGCGGGAAGACCACCGACCCAATGGTCAGAGTTCTTGGCAAAGAACCTTGAAGAAGAATATGATGCTCGACGAGTCCCTAGAGCGAGCAGAACCCACTGGGCTACTCTTGTACACGACAGTGAAAAATGGCAGATTTACTGGCGCCCGCCCGAATCACTCGACGATCAACGGGACTACAGGTGATACAGGTAACAGGTGATCTTATTGATAAAGCTGCTTCGTCTATGCCATCAACGTATTAAGAAGCGAAAAAGGGCAAGAAGTCCATAGAAAGAGAGAACTCCTTTCATTCACTTCAAAAAGTCGTGAGATGCTTAGAATAACATGTTTTAAACTGATATTGTGGGTACGGTCTATGCACAATTCCACACTGACTGAAATCACCTGTATCACCTGTAGACCCGTTGATCGTCGAGTGACTCGAGCGGGCGCCAGTTGTCATTGATTGAAATACTCTGAGATAATATACAACTCGTGATAAAAAACGCAACAGCCATCTTACATAGCATGACCTAGGAAGCCGTCGTAGCCTTCAGCCTTCGAGACTGGTTGGGCGGTAGTGTTGAGGGGAAAAATGAATTGCGTAGTAGTTGATTCGGTCTGCTAGTGCACCAACGACATGGTATAGGTGGCATTCTCTATATACTATTTATTTATAGTTTGAGTTGTATGATAGATGACACTTACAATTTGGCGTGTAGCGCAGTGGTTAAAAGTCTTTTGCGATGGATGCACATTTTCATTATTAGGATCCCGAATTGTGCGGTAAGTCCTACACCTCTTTGGCATTGACAACTTGGTGCCAGAGGAGATTTGTCTGGGGCGAGATAGACAGAACTCTCGCTTGCCATATCGGTAGGCTACAGGGAATTCATGCTTTGAATAGAGTAGATATGCACTCAATCTGCGATGCTACGAACGAAGCCGAATACATGGAGGATCCCTCAGGGAGTGAACAACGTGGAATGCTTTCTCTTTTTTTTTGTTACTTTTCAAATTGACCGAATTTTGTAGGTTTTTCACGTATTGCTTTCATTTTTTTCATGTCTTCTCTCTTCTTGATAGTAAAATAGATACTATTGTACGTCAATAACATCACAGACTATCAGTACTTTCTTGCATTGTTAAACTAACAAGGGGTTGACGAATCGATTCACTCGATTAACGCTTCGACGCCTTCATCTTCATCAGAGTCGATGATCCGAGTCGATGGTCCACAGTTGTTCGTCTTGGCTTTTCTGCACTTTCATCCTCGCGTTAGCTTAACAATCCAAGAACGTATTGATTATTACCACCGAGGTTAAATGATGGTCGCTCTGAAAACCACAAATTATACTTAAGTATGCTTCTGTAAAGCGATAATTGGAGAACTGCGGAACAGTCTTAAGCTCCCTTCCGTTTTAGCATCAACCAATTAGGAGTTGAAATAATCCAGGTGCAAACAGAGGTCTAGCAGAATGGCTCCAAAACGTAGTCCTATGTACGTGCCTTCCTCCGTTTAATTCTCGGACGACCTGGGACAGACTTTGGCCTGGCTGACCTCAGGTCTCCAGGTAATCCATAGTTGCTAAACCAGCAAAACTCCTAAGAAATGGACGGAAATTATGATAGAACCCACACAACCAATGACGACGGAACATCTAATATCCAAGTATCCAAGTTATCTTACAGTTGGAATGGTGTGCCAGGAAGATTCCGGTGATCGTGTAGTGGTGAAAGTATTATATTGGTCAGTATCGAACTTTTACGTTGAAGACTCTTGTTTTGAACAATAAATAACCCACTTTCTATGAGCATAAAATGCTCTACGATTATCATAACATAATTTGAATCATCATCCATCCATTAAATGGAAAGCCATCTTAATATGGCATAAAATCTGTGTAGGATTTCAATTTTTTAGATTGGTAAACAACTACACGAAGCCGATCAGAATACGCGAGAAGCAAATCCTAGATTTGATCTGGAAACCTGACCCCTACTTTGTCAACTCCAAGTACTCGTATTTCCACGCAGTCTCGTTCCCAAATTTTCGAATGCGAATATATCCCGACGGTCTCGTCAAGTATACAGTGAGGTGAGTTCATCTTGCCTTTGCTCTCTTGTTGCGGAAGTCGAAGAATGTTCGAGTCTTTGAGTTTTCGAAAAGCAGTCCTGCCGATTCTTTGAGAAATTCTCGCTTGTCAGAGTGACGTCAGTCTGCAACTGCTTCATGCTGTTCTGTCTCTACCCACACGACAGGCAGACGTGCGACCTTCGAATAAGTTCGAGTGAGTTGTTCTGCTCAGCTTATTGTTTTTAAACGTTTTTCTAACCAAACTCCCTCAGATCTTGAGCCTGTGGCAGCTGAATTCCAAATAATGATCTTTCTGGCCAGTATTGCGTCTTAGAAGCTTCAAAAAGACCTCTTGATCATAAATAACTAGACGCAGAAGAAACAAGCCGTAAGAAACTCTTGAGAGAGAGAGAGAGAGAGAGAAAGAGAGAGAGAGAGATTTAAACGTAGTAATTGTATATTGCTGAAAAGAGAATGTCTATGCATCAATATCCGCTAGTAGTTTTCAATTTCCGTACTTATCTCAATCCACAGTAAAGTTTGTGTTTAGTTTAACTTTGCTTAACTAATTTTTAATCTAATATTGATCAAAGTAAAAGTCACTGGAATCCTCACGTCCTCATCAGCAGGTGACACGTTTTTGTTTATTCCATCATTGACAAGCCGCGTGATTTATAGACGATTTTCTGGAGCATACGATTTTTCTAAAAACATCCTACAGTCGGCTTGACCGTTGGGAATCTTGTCAGACAGAAGCAGCCGTCAAACCGGTAGAAAATTTTGGTCGGCTGGTGAGAAGCCCAGCTGCCAAGGTCGATTGCATTCTGGTCGCTGAAGACATTTGTTGGCGCACTTTCTCGATTTCCCGACAGCATTTCCCTGCTGTAATTGTTTATTCAGAACTACAGAAGTTATGGTGGATAATTTCATCTGCCGAGCAACAACACTAAACATCACGTTCTTTTGAAGTAGATTTTTTTCCACAAGGGTTCCAGCACTTCATCTTTGTTCAACTTTGAGCACAACGTTGTAGATACAAGATGCAGGCCACTGGTTCAAAATAAACGTAGGACAAATTCCATGGCGGCAACATTTTTACTTCTCATTGGATTCATCGGAACCTGCTTATCGAATTTTATTGAGTTACCATCCTGTGAATGCGGTTTTTTTTAGTTTTCCTATAGTCGTAAAGAATGACTTACTTGAAGGAAAATCTACACAGCGGAAAGCATCTTTCATTGCATAGGCCTTCAAAAAACCACTTCATAGCAAACGTAGGGTGACACTTCAGCCGCGTTGGGGTTCCTTTGCGCATCGAACAAAACATTCTGAACATCACAACGTTGCTGAGATATTTGCAAAACTCTGGACTGCAAAAAGATCGATAGAAATAGCTGAGAGACAGGCGAAACGAAGGACCCGCATGGTGTGGTGGTGAACGAGTTACTCCCCGGAAAGGACAATAGCGCGTTCGTTCCCCACCATAGACACCTGCGGTCCAGAGTTTTGCAAATATCTCAGCAACGTTGTGGTTGTATTTCGCTTAGTAACCTGCCATGAAAATTATAGAAGGCAGAAAACAAAACCTGAAACATTGTGATTTCAACTACAGCCATAGCTTAACTGGGTTCTATGCCGATTTGCGCTCCCCAGATCAACCCCGCTGACGGGTGACTGCTGTGGCAAAAAGATCGATAGAAATAGCTGAGAGACAGGCGAAACGAAGGACCCGCATGGTGTGGTGGTGAACGAGTTACTCCCCGGAAAGGACAATAGCGCGTTCGTTCCCCACCATAGACACCTGCGGTCCAGAGTTTTGCAAATATCTCAGCAACGTTGTGGTTGTATTTCGCTTAGTAACCTGCCATGAAAATTATAGAAGGCAGAAAACAAAACCTTAAACATTCTGAACATCGATAATTATCTTGTGCTCCAGCAGAATATGTGGTGCACGAATTCTTCCGTTACCGTAGACCACGTTGTGATGGTTTCGAATGAAATTTGTGCTTAAAACCGCCCAATTCGTGAAGATGGGCCGTCCAATGCATGCGTACCGTATTCAGAAGAAATACCAAAGTATAATAGTTCGTACATGTGAAAAAAATCAGCCTAAAGACAAAACAGACCGATGTTGCTGTAGACTAAAATGCTGCTAATAAGGCGAATGCAGAATTTATGTATTCTTTCTTTGATGAGCTTACACGAGGTTGATAATGATGTTTATTTTCGGCTAACGTTTCGAAGTCTTCGTCTTCCTCAGAGCCGATAAAAGGGCATCACTGAGTAAGGATGCCTCATTCGAGGAGATGACCTCACTGAAGAAGACCTAACTCGACACGAAGGCGAAGCTGCCACGTCGAGGCGAATAACAAGCGAGGACCAACGACTCGGATCATCGGCTCTGAGGAAGACGAAGACGTCCAAACGTTAGCCGAAAATAAACATCATTATCAACCTCGTGTAAGCTCATCAAAGAAAGGATACATATTGATTAGTGATACCGAGGTTCAGGGAAAGTCGGTTTCCAAATATTAGTACGCTTTGTGCTAGCAGAATTTATGCTTTTTTAGTCGAATCAAATCCCGGCCCATTGTGTCGGATTATTTTTTTAGCTCATACCAGCATGTTATTGTCAAGGCGAATATCCAGTCAACTTATTGGAAATGACGGTGTTAACCTTTATTTTCTGCCCATTATAATTTTTCATGGCAGGGTATGATGTGAATTACAACCACAACGATGCTGAAATATGACGGGTAGCAGCGTAAGGTAGAAAACTTGCTGAGAAAAACGCGTGGCAAGGACTTTCGTGGCGCAGTGTGTAACGCACGAGCCCCCGGAAAGGAAAACCATGGTTTCATCTGACCGCGTATCCAGGTTTTGCGAATATCTCAGCATCGCCGTAGTTGAAAATGACAGTATTTCTCCGTGATACTTACTAATGCTGACAATTGTACTTCAATGCTATGTGATACTGCTGGAGATCTGTAAGACCTCAGCGACACCGATCTTAGGCGCTCGTGTGTAATATATCATTATATAAGGACTGCCAGTATGTTTAAAAAAATATCCTCTTACATAAACACGGGAGTTTGAGGTACCTCAATGGTCGGAGCAGATGTAAATTGAAGTTTGATAAATATTAGACACTCTACCACACGGAGCGGAATACGTATTGCGAATCTTAGAGCAGTTAACACAGTATCAGTGGAAGATCTGCTAAAATTCCACCCCAGTGTCATAATCTGGCCATTCATTGACTTTCATGGCATTCAAGGTAGTTGGCCATCCATTATTTACATAACCAGTACAACGATTTAGCTTTTCGACGCTCAACATTTTACCTGACGATACAAATACTTGCCCACCACTGGCAATAACCAGCTTCAATAAATTATCAAGCCTGACAAATAGTTGACAATCTTCCTGACGCATAGATGAAATCACTGTCTGGCCAGAGCATGGAATGCTTCGGTGAGTCGACGACCAGACGGCCGGCGATTCCGTTCCCACTGCGATCGATCCACTGCTTGGTCTTCCCCCATCTGGCAATCCAGTTTCCTCACTCACGTACGACGGCATTGTAATCGCCCACTGAACTCGCCTAACCTTGCCGGTACCAGGCGAAACGCCTCTGGACGATTTTTCTTTTGCATGCTACAGGTGGAGCACGTGGTAAAGGACCTCCCACTCCGTTATAAGCGTGCGACGCTGTTTACGAAACGTCATTCATCAGACGCGCTTTGCTTCGTATATCGCGCCATTTTAGCCTTGCTGAGTAACGTAATATTTGATGGCGCCATTTGGAATGAAGGGTAGTTCAAATCATAGGGTTATTATGGATATAAAGAAAGAACGCCATCCAATGAAGCAAATAGCAATAAACACTCAGCAATTTGTCCAGATGGTTTGCCCTGATTTCATTTACTCATGTAACTCCTAGCCGAAACACGAATGTAACTGCATACAGTTAAGAGACTTGCTGACATCGAGAACATTTATATCCGTTGCGATCAAGGGCGTGTAGCACACTAGTTAGAGGCACGCTTCAATACATAACAGATCAATCGCTGATTCGATCCCGCTCACCGTGCCCATCAAACTTGTCTGAGAGGGTTACCAGCACCCATGTGACACATTGATAGGGGACGCAAGTCATTGTTAAGGCCAGACAGGTATTGAGTTCCCTCAGCGATGCTTGATGAAGTTGAATGCATGGTACACCTCTCAAGGATTTTTCGGCGCCAAAGGCTTTATACTTCATCCTTTATCCATTATAACCGTTGTATTTCACTAAGCAGCTGAATTGCAGTCGCGTATCCATCGGCATTCGTGCACTTCGTCTGGCATACCGATCCGATTTCATTCCAGTCGGATATAGCTCTACCCGAGCTGCACGTCCAACATGTCTGGACTGATAAGTGCAATGTCGAAGGGAAACTAAGTAAGCGAATTTCAAAGCTCAGTCTTCACTTTGTGCAACAAGACATCTGAATACTTTAAGACTAGGCTTTTTTGCTAGCTATACATGATGGTTTAGCATCTTTACCAAGGTGGTGTTTTAGGCCGACGGCGCTTTTCATAGTTAAGAAAACCGAGAATGAAAACGCCCTAGAGAAAAACCCTTTCGATAACTTATGCAGAAAGAAACCTCCTTTCTTTTTTCCAAATTTTTTATTGTTTTTCTTCTTCCTACCTAGGTTTCCTTAAGAGCTACTCCTTTGAATTTCTCGTTAATGAGAGGTATGACTTATTTTAATCCAGGAAACAACGGTCCCGCATTTTATCGTGGCTGTACTAGAATTCTTTAGACACGATTGTGGCACAGAAGTCCTCAATAGTTTCAGGCGTAGATTTAAAGAAAATCGGCATTTGCATGAACCAACGCGACTGATCGTTGCTGTGTTCATGAACGCTTGAACTAGCTTTACAATCGGCTATTTAGTTCGTTCTTCGTGTCTTCGATTGGTGTTCGAACTCGAACGAGACGGAGCTCGCTTCGTGGTGGAAAAGTACATCCCCAGCACGTTAGCAATGATGTTCGCCTGGGTCGCGCCCTACGTACCGTACAACTACGAGGACGTCCGCATTATCACACCGATTACGGTAGCTTATTCAAAATGGCTTTTTGTTCCGAACTAAGTTTTGAGAGCAAAGCAGCAAGTGATTAGGATCTCTCCAATGGATCAAATATTTTGATGAGCTCAATTTTTATTCAAGTGTTGATTATTCATTGCTATTACTTTACTAGCACTTTGTCATCTGTTGTTAACCAAAACCGAGAAACCTTCGTTGATTTTTTTATTTCGTGATATTTTTCACCAAATAATGCATTTTGCTTGTAAATGTGACCCTAACTTAACTGAGATTCCTATTAAGGTACTGCTCACACTGGTGCAAATGGAAAAAGGAGACAAGGAGATCCGAACTTCCTACATCACCTCAATGGACGTGTGGTTCGCGGCGATGAAGGGGTTTACAGTCATCTCCCTTCTTGAAAGCCTCGTCGTGCTGGCATTGATCAAGCGTAGTCGCGCCATGGTAGGGAGTTTTTTATTACGATTAGACTGGAGGTTAAAGCGTACAAACGGATAGTCACATGAAAGTAAGGACACGGAATCTGTGCCCGGGTCGCATTTCCCAACTTTTATGGACATTCGGCATGATTTTTAGCCAAACTGGGGCAGCATTCACGGATACTCGACTCACTATGAAGAGATTTCTTCATGTGTTCCAAACTGACCGACAGAAAGGCCAAGACAACCTTTTTTCCAGATATAACAATTATACTGTGTAAACTGCATATTGATTTCAAACATAAGTGCACCAATATTGACAAAATGCAGAGATGCTTGTGCATCTTTAAAAAATGGTCCAGCCATTTTCTAGGGATCGCTGAAGATTCGTTTCGAAATAACGGAGAAATCTTAGCATTAGCTTCAATGATGCTGAGATATTTGCAAAACTCCCAATAGCTGGTGCCTGCGCTGGGGAACAAACGCGCTATTGTCCTTTCCGGGGAGTAACGCGTTCACCACCACTACATGCGGGTCCTCCGTTTCGTCTGTCTCTCAGCTAGTTCTATCGATCCTTATCGATATCCATCCTTGCCATTAAAAAGAGTGGGCAGTAAATAATAAGTTAAAACTGTGACTATAACTACGGCCTCAGCTTAACTGGGATCGTTGCCGTTTTGGGCTACTCAGATCAATCCCGCTAACGGGTGTTTGCTGATGGCAAAGGATCGATGGAACTAGCCGAGAGACAGGCGAAACGAAAGAGCCGCATGGTGTGGTGGTGAACACGTTACTCCCACGACCGACTTTCTATTAACCTCGGCATTGATCAAGTAATTCATCGTATTTTTGTTGAGCAAACGCGAGGTGTTATTATTCTTTATTCACGAATAAGCGGACGTTTCGGCGGATTTCGCCTTCATCGGAGTCTGGAAAGGTCAAGTTGATAGCAATCTACTCGGCCAGACACCTCCATAACCAAACAAAGAAACTCTAAACCAAGATTCCAATCACATTTAGCATAGCTCTGCACACTCACCGCTTTCTATGAGTCTTCCACTGAGTATGTCGCGTGAAGACCGACCGCACAGAATTCACATGGAAGCGTAATGTGCCCCTCCCAACAGAATAACAGGCTTATATATTGTCCAATATCACGCGTGATAACGAGGAATTCCTCCCTGCGGTTCATTTTCCGATTCTTGGAATTAATCCAGAATGCCTCTAGAGTTTTGCGTGCTTGTGCTCTTGATTCCTGCGCGAGGATCGTGACATGTACTTCAAAGTCCTCCCCCTTATGTCTCTGGGTCCTGTGCGTGCCTAGTGGGGTATTTGGTAGACGTTTTCCGGCTAGGTGTTCCTTTATGCGGACACTGAGGGGTCTGCCCGTTTCGCCAATGTATTCGTCTCCGCACGTCTTACAGGAGATCAAATAAACTATACCCGAGCTCATGCAGTCACCGTCTCTACCATTGGGGCATATTATGCAATTTTGCGTTGCACATAGACGGTCGTATAGGCGGTTACGAACTAGCTGGTGCCTTAGATTACTCGGTGGTATTTCGATTATCGTTACCGAATTTTCTAGACTGGCCTTTCTTAAACAGCGTTTTATAGCTGCACTCACTTCATTGGAAATGAAGGGCAGTATAAACGGGACCTTGTCATCGCTAGAGTTATCGTTGGGGTACCTGTTGTTTCCTCTACACCTATCTCGAGCTACGGCTTCGTAGCCATTAGAAATGGCTATTTACCGCGCCAAGTTCCGGGACTCCTCTCTCTGCTCTCTTCCTGTGCACACGCTGGTAGCTGTTCGATACATGTTTCTCACAAGCGCCCTTTTCGTGTGAGAGGGATGAGAGGAGAGGTAATGAACTAGGATGTTTTTACTACTTGGCTTTCCATACCACTTTGTAATGTAGCCGTTTTCTGATAGGCTAATTTGCACGTTCAGAAATGGAAGCTAGTTTTCTTTTGGTTTCTCTCGGGTGAATTTAATATACTCTGACTGTGTGTTCAACAACTCGAAACATCTGTCGATTTCTTCTTGCGTTGAACAAATGAGTAAGCAGTCATCTATATATCTACAGTAGAGTAACGGACCCAGGTCGATTACTGGCGCTTCCACCTTAGGCATGAATGCAATGGCAAGGCTTGGTGCCAGTCGTTGTCCCATTGCCAGCCCTCTCATTTGTGCGTAATACCTCCCGGACCATCTGAAGATTGAGCACTTTAGGCACTCCTTTAAGAGTGTCATCAACTGCTGAATCGAGAAGCCGTAAATGTTTATTGCTCCTTCGTGTTGTATAAGGAGCTCGTTTATGGCTTGCATAGCGGAGTCATTCGACACGTTCGTATAGAGGGCAGTGACGTTGAAGGACTCCACCACGTACGCGCTGTTGGGTCGCGCGTTACGTAGACGATCCAGGAACATTTGGGTGTTCGTTAGATGAGCTGGAATGTACTTCAACAACTGAGTAAGTATTAGGGTTATTAACCACGTTATTCCATCCGTTGGCCCGTCCACGCAGCCAATGATAGGTCTAACCTTAAATAACGATGTATCGGTAGACACGAGATCATCGCTGGATACTAACATATGGGTTTTGATAAGTAAGTACAGGATGGGACATGTTGGTAAATCAATTTTGAGATGAGAGATAACTGATGGTTTTAACCCAGCCGCTCTTGCCACTTTAACCCATTCGTTGTTTAACTTTCGGTATTGACCATTAAATTCCTTCTCAGACGATGGACGATAAAGGGAAGCATCTTTAAGGTGCTTTTCCGTTTTCTCAACATCTAACTGATGGGGAATTACAACGAACTCTCCACCCTTATCACTAACCGATAGTCTTATGTTTTTTGATCGTATCAGCTCTCGTAGCTCCCGCATACTACGTTTTTGTATTTCAATGAGGTTGGAGAAGTATCTTTTAGCGCGATAGTAATTAAGGACTTTGAAAGTTTCATTCGTAAACATCCGAAATTTAACATCAACTTCATTAATGGGCTCTTGTTGTCTAAAGAACGGTTGAGGAAATGGTGGTACTGGTATTGCCCCCACTTTTTGTTGTTCGCGTCTATTTTGCGCTTCATCCCTAGCTTTATTTCGGAGTCTATCTTGAAGTTCATGTAAACTGCATGCGACCCTACGCAAGGTTATCTTAGAAATGGGTTCAGATGGTGAGAAACTCGCTCCCAATTCTAATAACGAGCGCGCACCGTCAGGGAGGGTTATGCCTCCTAGCACGCTTAACCTTGGATTTCTTTTCACATTATTTATCCTACTGTGAATCGTTTGATCTTCGTTGGCGGCGTTTCTGTGTGCTCTTGAAGCCGTGTTATGCGATTTACTCAAAAGGTCTTCGAATTTTTTCCGCAAAGTTACTTTAGCATTAGACCTAATAGAGTTGCAAATCAACACTGACCCAACCACTATTCTCCTCCAGAGGCGGTCCTCCAAATACTGAGCACAATAGTTTTCTTTCTTCTCGCACTTCTTCCACTTAGCGAACATCTGGTTTTGTTTGATTCGTAGACAAGTGCGCAGTACCTGCAATTCGATGTCCAGTACTCGGTGGTCATCCTCTGGCAGTCCGCATACTTCGTGTAGTCGTTTTCTTTTCATGAATTTTGGAACGACTTGGTGTTTTATGCAGCGGCGGAGAAAGTGTATTGCCTGTCGAGCTAAGACGTCTTACTCTATATATCTTTCGTCTTACTGACAGTGCTTCTTTTGTAAGTCGGAAATATCTTGCTGGTACATCTTGTAGTAACTCCAAAGTTCGACTTTCTATTAACCTCGGCATTGATTGAATATATCTTTTTACTTCTGTTCAGCAAACACGAGGTGCTATTTTATTTCTTTATTTACGCACAAGCTGACGTTTCGGCGGATTTCGCCTTCCTCAGAGCCTAGAAGGGTCAACTTGACAGCAATTCATTTCACTAAACACCTCCATAACCAAACAGAGAAAACGCTAAACCAAGATTTCAATCACATTTAGCATAGCCCTGCACACTCACCGCTTTCTATGAGTCTTCCACTGAGTACGTCGCGTGAACACCAACCGCACAGAAATCACATGGAAGCATAATGTGCCCCTCCCATCAGAATAACAGATTTATATATTGTCCAGTATCACGCGTGATAATGAGGCATTCTTCCCTGCAGTTCATTTTCGGATTTCTGGAATTAATCCAGAATGCCTCGAGAGTTTTGCGCGTTTGTGTTCTCAATTCGTGTGCGAGGATCGTGACGCATACTTCAAAGTCCTCCCTGTTATGTCTCTGGGTCTTAATCGTGCCTAGTGGGGTATTTGGTCTATGTTTGCCGACTAGGTGTTTCTTTATGCGGACACAGAGGGGCCTGCCCGTTTCGCCAATGTATTCGTCTCCGCACGTCTTACAGGAGATCAGATGAATTATACCCGAGCTCATGCAATCACCGTCTTTACCATTGGGGAAAATTATGCAATTTTGCGTTGCACATAGGTTATATAATCGGTTACGAACTAGCTAGCGCCCAAGATTACTCGGTGGCATTTCAACCACGTTTACCGAATTCTCTGGACCCACCCTTCTTAAGCAGCGTTTTATAGCTGTACCTACATCATTTGAGATGAAGGGTACGATAAACGGGACCCTTCCATCGCTAGAGATGCCGTTTGGAGGGCTACGATTTTCCCTACACCTATCCTGAGCCACAGTTTCGTAGCCATTAGAAATGGCTATTTGCCGCGCCAAGTTCCGGAACTCCTCTCTCTGCTCTCTTCCCGTGCACACGTTCGTTGCTGTTCGAAACATGTTTCTTATAACCGCTCTTTTCGTGTGAGAGGGATGAGAGGAGAAGTAACGAACCAAGATGTTGTTAGTACTTGGCTTTCGGTACCACTTTGTAATGTAGCCATTTTCTGAGAGGTGAATTTGGACGTTTAGGAATGGAAGCCATTTTTCTTTCGGCTTTTCTCGGGTAAACTTGGTATACTCTGACTGTGTATTTAACAACTCGAAACATTTGTCCATTTCCTCTTGCGTTGAGCAAAGGACAAAACAGTCGTCTACATATCTGGTATTCGTAAGTGGTTAAATATTAGAGTTAAAAACCATGTTATCCTGTCCGTTGGCCCGTCTACGCAACTAATGATAGGTCTAACCTTAAATAGTGATGGATCGGTAGACGCAAGATCATCGCTGGATACTTGATACTAACTTATGAGTTTTTATAAGTAAGTACAAGACGGCGCACGTTGGCGTTTATGTCTAAGGTGGAAGCACCTGTGACTGATCTCGGGATGCTACTCTACTGTAGAAATGTGGACGATTGTTTTGTCCTTTGCTCAACATAATAGGAAATGGACAAATGTTTCGAGTTGTTAAATGAACAGTCAGAGTATATCAAATTCACCCGAGGGAAGCCGAAAGATAAATGGCTTCCATGCCTGAACGTCCAAATTCACCTATCAGAAAATGGCTACATTACAAAGTGGTATCGAAAGCTAAGTAGTAGAAACATCTTGGTTCATTACCTCTCCCCTCACCCTTCTCACACGAAAAAGGGTGCTTATAAGAAACATATTTCGAACAGCAACGAACGTGTGCACGGGAAGAGAGCAGAGAGAGGAGTTCCGGAACTTGCCGCGGCAAATAGCCATTTCTAATGGCTACGAAACTGTAGCTCAGAATAGGTGTAGGGGAAATCGTAGGCCTCCAAACAGCAACTCTAGCGATGGAAGGGTCCCGTTTATCCTACCCTTCATCTCAAATGATGTAAGTAAGCTATAAAACGCTACTTAAGAAGGGCGGGTTTAGAGAATTCGGTAAACATAGTTGAAATACCACCGAGTAATCTTAAGCTCCAGCTAGTTCGTAACCGCCTATGTGACGGCCTATGTGCAACGCAAAATTGCATAATTTTCCCCAATGGTAAAGACGGTGATTGCATGAGCTCGGGTATAGTTTATTTGATCTCCTGTAAGACGTGCGGAGACGAATACATTGGCGAAACGGGCAGACCCCTCAGTGTCCGCATAAAGGAACACCTAGCCGGAAAACGTCTACCAAATACCCCACTAGGCACGCACAGGACCCAGAGACATAAGGGGGAGGACTTTGAAGTACATGTCACGATCCTCGCGCAGGAATCAAGAGCACAAGCACGCAAAACTCTCGAGGCGTTCTGGATCAATTCTAGAAATCCAAAAATGAACCGCAGAGAGGAATGCCTCGTTATCACGCGTGATATAGGGCAGTATATAAGACTGTTATTCTGTTGGGAGGGGCACATTATGCCTCTATATGATTTTTGTGCGGTTGGTCTTCACGCGTCATACTTAGTGGAAACCTCATAGAAAGCGGTGAGTGTGCAGAGCTATGCTAAATGTGATTGTAATCTTGGTTTAGCGTTTCTTTGTTTGGTTATGGAGGTGTCTGACCGAATAGATTGCTATCAACTTGACCTTTCCAGGCTCTGAGGAAGGAGAAATCCGCCGAAACGTCAGCTTATTCGTGAATGAAGAATAATAACACCTCGTGTTTGCTCAACAAAAATGCGAAGAACGCGTTACTCTCCGGAAAGGACAATGTGTTCGTTCCCCACCGCATACACCAGCGGTCCGGAGTTTCGCAAATACCTCAGCATCATTGAAGTTATATTTCGCAATATATACCCTGCCGTTAGAAAGAGTAGGCAGTAAATTAAAATTGTGATCTTAACATTAGAATTCTACCCATATAAAACTCATTTAATAACACGGGATAAAAATGAACTACGGTTAGAGGGTTATCATGAGCGTCAAATCGTGAAGCAGGCGTTCATCCCCATCAGGATCTCCTAATCTGAGAATGATTTCATCATTTTCACCGAGAAGCAGAGTCATCGACAGCCTAAGGCAGAAATCGCTGTTATGTTGGCAACAACAATGTCACTTCACTGGCGGCTGAAACCTGTAAATTACCAGTGAGATGGAAATTGTTCTGAGGTATGCGCGATTCCTCACGATTCGCGGGGCTTGCTCAAATATCAAATGAGTAATCATTCAGAATCATTTTGTATTAGATTAATCACTGAATATCAAAAAAAAATTAAATTAGCTAAATCACTGCGATGAAAAATTGCTCTACATTGTTGTAGAGTTTCAATTAAACTGTCCATGATTCGTGCATTCCTGCTCTGGGAAAGGCGATTTTTCAGGACTACCTATTAATAGAACGTTTGAGAACTGAAATTGTACAGTAAAAGACCTAAAGTCTCACTTTTCAGGAGAAGAACATGCAGAGAGCGAAAACTGAGCTGGAGCGGGAAAATTTCAAACTGGAGAAGCACAAGCTGACCCGCCTGTACCACCGATTAGACAGCATGTGCCGATTCATCTCGCCTATTGTCTTCGTGCTTTTCTTTGTGTACTACATGTTGTTCGTCGCTCAAGGAAATGAGCGTGGTTGTGTCGCCAAATAAATTCGCAAAGCAACCTCGTCAATATCCCGTTTTCCATGTGAGAGAAAAATTAAACATGTGAAACGTTGAAATATGCCGACTTCGGTAGCAAAGGAATAGGAATAGGAACATGCAGTCACATATCTCTACATCATAGTTTTCTCCATTTTATGAAACGTCACGCCCTAGTTGTAGGAGTGAAGAGATCGTCGCGGATTTCTTCACTTGTGCACCTTTTCCCATAGACAGGCTCTACCTTCTGTTGTACTTTCTACAATTTCATAATCTGTCTATTACAATGATTTCTTCACTTGTGCACCTTTTCCCATAGACAGGCTCTACCTTCTGTTGTACTTTCTACAATTTCATAATCTGTCTATTACAATGATTTCTTCACTTGTGCACCTTTTCCCATAGACAGGCTCTACCTTCTGTTGTACTTTCTACAATTTCATAATCTGTCTATTACAATGATTTCTTCACTTGTGCACCTTTTCCCATAGACAGGCTCTACCTTCTGTTGTACTTTCTACAATTTCATAATCTGTCTATTACAATGATTTCTTCACTTGTGCACCTTTTCCCATAGACAGGCTCTACCTTCTGTTGTACTTTCTACAATTTCATAATCTGTCTATTACAATGATTTCTTCACTTGTGCACCTTTTCCCATAGACAGGCTCTACCTTCTGTTGTACTTTCTACAATTT